TTTTATTGTGTGACCTAATAATTTTTCAGTCTGTATTAGCAGTTAATCCCTTTGCAATTACTTTGTGGGACTATCATTACTAAAAAGTTATGAATTAAAAGTCTTAGGTGAAAATCTAAATTCTGTTGTTATTGTTACTGTCAGACTGTGACTGTATTCTGTGGTTAAGTTTGGTGTAATAAAATAAATCCTCTAAAAGACCTTTCACTTTAGCTATGCTTGCAATTTAATCGTAAAGCTGGATCTCTGGTTCACCTGCAGCTTTGCTTCTGTTATTTGTCTACTAAGCATTGTAGTAATGCATTGTTCTGTTGACTCTCTTGAACTTCCTTCTTTATTTTTTCTCTTAATAATAATTTTTAAAAACTCAGAAAAGCCCAGTTGACTTCAATAGCTGCTTGGATTTTGTCATTTCATTCACAATGGGCTTTTTGTCTTTCTGTATACTTGCTGAAGGCTATACATGTCTTCTTTTTTTGAACAGAATTTCACAAGCCATGTTCATATGGAGGCTAATAATTGTACTATTCTCATAATTGATTTAGCTAAGTTTAGATTTGCTTCTATTTTTTGTTCAAAGAATTTCTTTTCTAGAAATAACCTTTACCACCTTTGTTTTAAGTGAATGTTCCCTGAATTAATGAAGTATATATTGTAAGAGTTGTTTTCATTTTGAAGATAAGCTCTCATCTGTCTGTGAAGTCTCATTCTTGTGTGTATTTTTCCATCCACAGGCTGACATATGTCATGATTAACTAGAGGTTGTTCTTTCCTGTGTTCTCTTTGTTTAACAGGATATAAAGTTCATTAAACCATCATAAATCTCTTACAATATTTTTTCCATTTTAAGTATTTGCTAATACGTGTCAATTGAAATCACAGTTCTTTTAGATTAGACTTAAAGTAGTCTTAATTCTGTGTAATTTCAATATTTGGAGTTGAACCAGACATCTCATGCATCTTCAGAAAAGGCAGATTTATAGAGCTAGAAATAAAGCCTCTCTTCACATAATACAAGTACTCTTAGATCTTGTAGTTGTAGAACATGAAAAATGCACAGTTGATTGGAGTGAAAAAATATGTCTGAATGTAAGCTGAAAGGGCAAAATTACTTGGAATCTCATGAGGCATGGATATTGAGATGGGAAACTGTTACAGGAAGTGAAATAAGGAAACCATATATGTGGACTACAGAAATACTTGCATGTGCTGTGGAGTAATAAATACAGTGGTTGATGGGTTATTTCTGTTGGTTTTTTTTTTTTCTTCAGATGCTGCTACAAAGACTTGGAGGATTTGGGTCTTGAATTATCATTTCCTGAGACGAGCAACTCCTTGATTCTTGTGAGGAAAGTGCCAATGTGTTTTATAGAAAGAGAAGCCAATGAATTACGACGGAAAAGACAACCTATCACTAAAAGTATTGTGGAGGTCAGCTGTGGATATGAGTGAAGTTATGATAGTAGGTCTTGTTCTGTATTCATGGCCAGGATATTACAGGATCTCTGTTATGAAGGAGACAATGAAGTCCCCTGGCAAATGTGAGTGCAGTGCGAGGTCAGGACTTCCACCTACATCTTTCACTATGGTCAGTGTACTACCAACTGTATCACTTTTTCTGATTCTGGCCATCACACAGTAAATTATAGACAGATATGAACAAAGTAGGGTAGGGGGATAGAAGGGAAAAATAGCAACTGATGACATTACCTTTTTTCTTTCTAGGAGCTTATTCAAGAACAAGTTGAGGTGAGTTGCTGTCTACTTCTAGAGTTGACTATAACAATCCAAAGCTTGCTGTGTGAATCAAAGGGAGTGTGTTGAGCTTCAAATGAGAGTGGGCTAGATGATCACCTAACTTTTCCTCATTTTTAGTTTTCTTTGTGTTACAGTTCTTTTTTCTCAAAATAAATGGAAAATAACATGTTTGTTCCCTTACTGCTTCTAGCTAATGCAGACCACAAGAGGAGGAGCACGAGGGACACTGCCTCTTACATTTCTGAAGGTGTTAGCTTCCCAAGCCTGTCATGGTAGGGAAACTTTTCTTTTATTCTTCCTCTTTTTTTTTTTCTCCCCAGACCTACCTCTCTACACAACATCCTTCCTGGGGCAGTGTTTGGATGTGTTTGCAGCTATTGCAGGGTTTAAGACTGTGTTTCTTACGGGTGAGGAGATAATGCTCATGGACAGCACTGAAGGATAAGCAATAGTCCCTCAATTTATTCTTGTATGGGCCTAATGTACTTTCCAATCTTCATGTGAAACATACAGTTCTGAGATACATTCATCTGTGTGAGCTCTAAACCATTCAAATAACAGCTCTATGATGGGCCAAGGGGGAGGGTGCTGGAATCTGCTTGAAAGCATGTAGGGAAGAACACTTAGCCATTCTTCCCAAATTTTTAATTTCCTTTAAGTATCCCAAGTGGTAGTTTAAGTGTGCCTGCAGCATTTCAAGTACTTTTGGAAGGAGTGCAGTAAAAATTTACATCTCAGGGAACTGTTGCTTTCCAGCACCTGGCAATGAGCAGGCCTTACTGGTGTAAACTGCAGTAGCTCTAGCCTCTTGTTGCAACTCCTGTGCCATATACAGTATCAACAAGATCACACTGAAAGGGCAAACGTGAACCAGAAGTATCTGTTTTCTCAACAGTGTCTCAATTTCCAATTGGCAGTCAATATGTTTTGGGTTTTTGTGTCTAAAAAAGTCCCATGGCTGAAAGCAGATTGCAGATGGTCTTGTGCATCTGTGAAGGCTAAAGTTTGCAAACACCTCTGAAGTAACTCCCTAATGTTCTGCTTGAATTTCCTCTGGACACCTTTAAGTGCTCACTTGTGAGAAAGGACTTATTGGCAGGGCTAGGACTTGGTGTCAGAAGTTATACCTGTCCGTGGCAGCCATGGAGAAGCACTAAAGCCTCTGAAACTGTTGTCTTGGTTTAATACTTGATTTGTGACGTGTTTTTAACTTCAGCTGTAACGCATACACACAAAAAGGCCCATTTGCTTCTTGCAACATTACCTGAAACACCAAAACGTAATAATCTTACTGTCCATTACACTTGGGCTGTGTGAAAGTTTAAGCTGTGGAAAGCTGATTTCCTTATACAGCATACTCTTTAATTGACCTAAGCCCCAAGTCTGACACACTGCAGCCTTTGGGTTGCCTTTGCAGCCTCTCAGCTCATCTTTGGGAGATGCCTTGTTTTCACTGAAAACTACAGGTGTAGAAGGAAGTGGAGTCCTCTTTGGCAGCAGGGGTTAGAATGTGTCTCTCTTTTTCAGGAGCCATTAAGTTTAACGAGCATTTGACTTTGGAGGAGAGCTGCAGGCTTATTGAAGCTTTGTCATCTTGTAAGCTGCCCTTCCAGTGTGCTCATGGAAGACCTTCAATGCTGCCTCTTGCAGACATAGACCATCTACAGCAGGAAAAACAGGTACAGTGTGGGACACACCTCTGGTACTCCGTGTTCTGGATTATCAGAGGTGCATCATTTATGTGTGCTGGAACTAGGATCATCGAAACCACCACCACAGCACTTATATTACTTTTTACATATTGTTATCAATAAAATGAAACTTTAGAACATAAGCCATCTGCCCTGAAAACACTTTAGCAAGGATCTTACCATATATTATTTGAATAGTCACACTGACTTGAATAGTGTCCTTAAGGTTAAGCATACATTTAAAGTATTTGCAGTTTTTAAGTGTAAATTTTGGAAAACATGGAAATTCTGCTAGTGGCAAAAAATGCTTACTTTCCCAAAATTTAAGATGCTATAAAATGGAGATAAAGCACAAGAATAGCAACATTTATTATAAGATCCTAGGATAGTTTGGGTTGGAAGGGACCTTAAAGATCATCTAGTTGCCATGAGTAGGAATGCCTTCCATTAGACAAGATTACATTTGAATTATATTTAAATCAGGTTACATTTAAATTTAAAACAAAATCATTACTCCTCCCTGTTGCTATTACTATGCTTTATTATTATTAAATTGGATTGTGTTGAAAGGTGGGACTTCGAATTAGATATTAACTTGGGAATGACTGTGTTAGGGCAAAGAGTATAGAAACATTGAAACTTATTTATTCAGTTAAGACTTACGCTTCTTAATTTTCCTCCCTCCAGCCTAAACCTAATTTGACTAGACTGAGGAAGATGGCACGAGCATGGCAACTATTTGGAAAAAAAAAAGAACCTATTTAAAAAAGGTTAAGACTGTAAACTGCAACCACTAGAAGCATTGGTATGATCCATGAGCTATGTTGTTAGACTACAAACCCTGTGTGGAGCCAAGTTATGAGCCAGTGCAGTCACCAAAGCTCTCCAACTACTGACCAAAGGAGCAGAGACCAGCAAGAACATGGCAGGAGGAGCCCACCCTTGGAGCCTGGAGAAGCATCTTCAAAATTAAGGAATGGTGCTGTACATCTGGGCTCTGTCAGTGCTGGACGTTGGGTGTAAGCAGTTGCAGCCACTTGCACTTACTAAAGCAAAGCACTTTTCTGCAAGCACAGCATAATTCTGTATATATAATTGCATAATAGAGAGGGGAATTTTAATTAAGTGTATTTTACAGTACTTTGAAAATTTGAAGGTATTTCTTAATAAAGTTCACACTAAACTTACTCCTTGGGCTCATGGCAGTGGTTGGAATGAGGATCGACCAGCTTCATAGTATATATAGACCAACTTAGAATCAGGAAACACTTAACTTGGCAATGAATGACACCCACAGCTGCCTTCTCCAGCTCCTTGCAGTTTGTGTTCTTGAGTGAGAGATTTCTAAATCCCCACATAGCCCCACAGAAATAACTAAATAGTTAAATATTCATTTTGAAGACAACTGTTGATGGATTCCTACTCCTGTCACATTCACATGTGAAAGCATGCTGTAAAGCCTGCTACTACATCATGTAGTGAGTGCAGGCAACTCACTACACTGGTAAAACTCCTGCTAGCTGAAGAAACAAAACAACTGCATATGGAAGATGTGCTTAACAGTGAGGTCACTGTAAACAGCCTTTATTGCAGCGTAAGTAACACTTACACTTTGAAGTAACAGCTTAGCTGCCCCAGTTACACATATGCCCTGCTATTTCAAAATTAAAGTGAGTTAGCAGCTCCACATCGTTTCTGACACAGCATAGAGAGAAAAACCTGGACAAGAGCTCTGCTGTCTCTTGCTTTTGGGTAGGAAAGACATTGCTGAGCAAATTCCCCACTGGCTCCCCACAACAACCTGTGTTTGCAATATACACTTGAATTAGCTGATGTATCTTTCTGAAGAGAAAAACGGAAAGAGTCCAGATAGTGATGGGCTTCACAGTGTTAGAGTTCATAGTCATCTGGATGGTAGAGCTCGCTCATGAGGCGGTAGATGTAGGAAGGTGCATTACCCCCAATGTTAGAAATGAAGAGAGTAATGAGCTCTGGAGGGACATAGTCAAACACTGGGCAGTGAACATTAATTTTTGCCAGGATCTCCCCTGTAAAGTGAATAGCAACAGTATCAGTCAAAACAAGTCAAAGTACATTTAGCCTTTTGCACAGCTTCTGGAGTCTCTGAAACTGGCTATGCACATGCCACCCTCAAGTCAGTACTTGAACATCCTGAATACTTTCCAATTTCTTCGCTGATGTAATTGAATTACAGGTATACAGCAATCTTGAATTAAGCAAAATTCTGTTTCTGGTCATTTTTGTTGGTGGAAACCCCAGATCCCCTCTGATGTAGATGGCTCTAATTGCCAAAAAACCCTACCACTATGTAATCCAAGAATCCTGATACTGCCAAAGTTAGTCTTTGAAGAAATGCTCAGAAGGCCAAAACTAAAATCTGGTGCCAAGCCTGCTATCTTCATTTCAAAAGTCTTTGTCACATAGAAATGTGGCATTTGAATTTGTGGCATTTGAAATAGAATTGAAAGGGACTTTGCTAACTGAAAATGGGTTTGGGCACTGACACCTTTCTAAAGATGGTGTTTGTGTCGGAAGCCCATGGCAGAGACATTGTTTCAATGGCTGTATCATGTAACAAAGTTTCAAGAAGTTATAGCAACTAAGGGAAGCTGCCCTTGGTGTTGGGCATCTACCCTGTCCCACAGGAAACTGCTACCTACTTGGCATCATAATCACCATCCTATAATAAAACACTGCTTCAGAGCAGAGCAAAACTGCAAAGACAGTGTTCAAAAGAAATACTTTTTCTCTGTGTAATATAAACTTATAAAACTGGATGGTTCACAGCACTCTTTTCTGAAAAGGATTTTCTGTCTTGGGTTATAACATAGTCTGATGTTTAATTTTTTATATGAGTCACAAAAAAAATATTACAGTCTGAACCAGCTTGACCAGATGTATAAGGAATAACCAGTACCTTCTGTGAATGGCAGCACTTCCTGTGGTGACACAAACTTGTGGAATGAATCTTCTTCATTAGGGAACTAAATGAGAAAAAGTACAGGAAGATCAGGAAAAAAAAAAACCTACCTGATTATCCTGGTGGAAACAGATCCTATAACTGGAAGGAACTAATACATAAAAAGATGACTTCTTAGGTTGTATTAACTCTGTTTAAAATAATTACATAGTGCTTGTGTCTAGAACCTAACATTTACAGGTGAAAGATTTTTCTCAAAGCTTTCAGAACCTTCTATGATATGGCTGCCCTTATCAAAGCCTAGTGAACTGGAGGAGTGAATTCCTCAGTCTGCAATTTCATCTGCCTATACTGAAAAAGTACCGAGTTTAAGAGTTTTTAATATCTCAGTCTACATTCTCTGCCTTTCAGCACTAATGGTATCAACTGAAATCTGTCGTGGTTAAGGAAAAATAAGTATGGCAATGCCAGTCTCATCAGTCTAGGCAGTGGTCTACATCCTTATACCCAATGTACTGCTTTGCACCTGTGGCAGAGGGGAGTGCTCCAAGGAGATCCTGAGGTGAGCCAGATTTGGGTGAGGATCTCTTATCTGAAGTAACAGTGCTAGATGGGGGAGATGGCTCATTTACTGACCTTGCCTTGGGACAGATGGTGCTCTCCACCCTAAGCTCCCACAGAGCCCCTGCAGGTGCGGTCCTGAAGAGCTACTGTACTTACCTGTGGTGAAAGCTTGAACATGGGAGCACATACGATGAGTGGAGTGGAGTGGTGTTTAGCTGCCAGTGCCAGAGTGTGAGTCCCACTCACAGCAATCAGGGCGCCATTGGCCAGGATTGTCTTTGTACCAATGATGACCTTAAAAGGGCAAATCAGAATTGGATAGCATGTTCCACAGCAAACTGGGGAAGGAACACTTCCTGGCTCAAACCCTGACAGATGAGCTGGAAGAAGACTGTGTCAGTACAGCCAGCCAGCCAGCGGCTGGAGTTATAGGGCAGCTGAATGCCTCATCTGTTTCATCTGGCACTGGCTCTGCACTGAGACGTTCCTCACTAACAAGAGCATGACTCCAGCACAGGGAGGCCAGGAGAACTTCAGAAGACAAATGTATGTTCTACTGCAGGGAACAGCAAGCAGAAACTGGGCTGTGGTCCCTGTTGCTCTACAAACCTACAAAGTAAGCTTTGTACAAGTAACTTGACTACTCATTCCAAAAATTCCCTTGCATTTTGGTTGAGGGAATAATATAAAGCAGCTCAAAATATATAGATAAGAATTTATGTGGCTAGATTTTAATATGTTACAAGTACTTCTTTTTTCCCCACTTTGGGGTGCCAAGTTTTCATCTCTATAAAAGTACAGAACAGATCTGTTCAACAAGACAAACCTTAATGATTCCTTTCATCGGTCATCTTCTGTTTCAGGCAAAGGGGTAATCTTGCTTTTTGTTCCATCTCCTTTGAAAATTGAGGTTAATCCTTTGAGGCTCTCTTGTAACTGTAGCCACTAAGCCAGAAAAACCTATCACCATTCAGTCAGTCATCATACTGACTTGGAGTTCCACACTAAATCTCCACCCCAGCAGTGAAGAGGGACTATTACAATTTTTAGTCTTCAGTGAAGAAACATCCATCACTGCTGGGACTTCCAGCTGATTTGAGAGGCCTAAGCACCCAACCTGCCATGAACTCCCTCCTCCAGTGGAGCTCTCCTTACCTTGTTGACTCGAGACATGACAGCAAAAATAGCTGCATCACTCATGACAGTAGTTTCAATATTCTCTTTAGACAGTCGGACAGCCATTTCATGACCCTAAAAAGAGGGAGAATCCAATTGGTTCCCTGTGACACAGCTCCTGAAGTGCAATTGTAGAGGTATCAGCACTCAATTCTTGTCCGAACTGCAAGAATACCAAGTGATGAAACCCAAACACAGCCCTTCAACTCAAGGATGCTGGGATAGGATAAAGAGCTGTCTCCAGTGTCTCAGCTGCAAAGGAATTTCCATAACGTTCATCTTGATTCCAGACATAAGATTTCAGTAACAATATGCAGGACAATATGGTACAGCCAGCCCAGGCCTCACCTGGCAGAACGGTGCACACTCTGCCACGATGACCTGGAACTTGCGCTTGCGAGCAGCTTCCTTCAGGAAGGCCTCAACAGTGCGTGAGTAGCCAATGGTCATGATCACCTCATTGGAGTGGATGTGCTCCAGCGCCTGCATAGCAATGTTATCAGTGGTGCCCTCTGTAACAGAAGCAAGATGTGGGTGTAAAAGCAGCCAGCAAAAGCAACACTTTTGCTGCTAGGACTGTCCTCCAACAAGATCATTTTTCACTAAAGTAATGTTATTAGCACTGGCAGAGCAGGAGCAGCTTTTCTCCTCATTCTTTTTGCCAGTGGAGTGGAACCAAGAAGCTGGCCCTTGAATGCTCCATGCTCCCTAGCTATACCTTCCCTATATATAAAAATAGCTGTACTGAAAACGCCATTGTGAGGGGAGTGGATTGTGTCAGCATTACTCCAGATAACCACCAGGCCCACAAAACTTCAACAGTTTTGTAGTTCAATAGCAGGGCAACTTGGGCCTCAGAAGGTGGGTTGAATGCCTGATTTGTCACAAGTATAGCAGGAAAAGAAAATTGTGTCTCAGTTCTTTGTTACAAGGGTCAGATTATATGTGCACAGGTATTTTACACTCTTCTTCGGAGAGCTCAAGACTTCCCAGAAGAGCAAGAGCACAGGCCTACAGCCCCCCATATTGCTCCTTCCATAATCTACCCATCTCCCCATAAGCTAACGAGAATTTAAAACTAAGTCCTGGGAGTAGCAGGGCTTCAGTCCCTTGGTTCCTTCAGATTAAGCCTCCTAGATTCTTGTTGTTTTATTTTTATCTAGAGAAGGGGGAAGCATCAGTCCTATCCCATAAGAATCTTCACTCAGGAGCAATTCAGACCCATACATACCTAGCTCAATTAGCATTTCATTAATAGCTTCAATAACATTAGCTCTGAGGGACGGGTAAGGGGTTCTGAAATCTTCATTCAGTCCTCCAGAAGTGAGGAGTTTGTGCAGGGATTCTTGCTGGTCACTTTCCTCGCTGCGCCCATGAAGCCTGTGGAGAAAAGTGGCCATTTCAGCCTCAAGAAAGAGCACAAAGCCAGGCTGAGCACTGTCCCCACAGTATGGCACACCTGGATGTGAAGGGACAGGAAGGCAAGCCACCCACAGGAGGCACACCATGCCACACCAAAGAGCTTCCATAGCTGTCTTGGCAGAAAAACACCCAAATCTCTGCCAGAAAGTGCCTTCTTAAGTCATCTGCAAACACTGCTGTCCATAGACAAGGAGAAGGCTTGAGGCTACTGCTGCAGTGGGATGGACCCCCCTGGGTACAGACAGAGCGAACAACCCAAGGCCAGGGCACAGACTGTTGTCATGCACTCACAACACATAGACCAAGGGGTTTCTAAAGAGGAAATATCATCACCCACGGTGGAATCAGCAGGATTTCCTTTGGTGTTAAACTCCCTGAATCCCTGTCTAGGAGAGGTGGGAAAAGAGGATGATGGAAACTAAAGGGGTTTTACAGAAGCAACTTAAAAGGGCAGTTCTGGGCTTTCAGAGAGATACAAGGTGCAAGAGGGGCACTTTACCTGCCATATTCCTCACGAATGACCTTCAATACTCGTCGCACCATGTTGCCCACTGTTGTCTCTGACGGCTGGGCTGCCGTCATTCTCTGGCCCTCTGTCCGGATCAGATCCATGAGCTCCCCTAAAAGAGGGGAGGGTCTTGGTTAAGGCCCAGAGCAAACCCATGTGAGCATCAAACCAGTGCACTCCCCTGAACATCCCATGTGCAGCTGCTCCAGCACAAGGACCACAGCACCAAGAAACAATAGGAAGAGGCGAGCAGAGAGCCCCTCACAAAGCAGCTGGTTCCACTGTGGATTCTGGAGTCGGAAACGCTTGGACACGACACAGACTTAGGGAAGACCATCAGCAGCGCATTTGGTCTTTCCTTTGAAAGAGGAAGCCGCGTGCTGCTAGAAAGGTGCTACTCGGACTGACGCCGGTGAGGGGAGAGCAAGGCTGGAGCACGGCAGCTCCTCGGGTAATGCTTCCCGAGCACAGCACAGCAGGCTGGGAAGGGCTCCGCCGTGGCAAGACAAGCACTGGGAATCCGCTGGTCACTGCTAGCGAGGCCCCAGCTCCCGCGAGCCGCAGCACCAGCGGCGCCGTATCGGGCCTGCCCTGGCCTTGTAATCCCTCCGCACCCGACAGCCGCGACCGGGGTGCAACTGCCCCGCCGCGGGCTCGGTCCCAGCGCTGGGGGAGCCGCACCCGCCCGGGGAAAACGCTGAGTCCGCCCGCCGCCGCCCGGCCCTCACCGGCCCGGTTCCATCGCCCGTGCCCGACGATCTTCCGCAGCAGCGAGAGCGTCTGCCGCGCCGTATCCTCGGAGCGCGGCCGCTCCCCGCCACGCCGCAGCCGCGCCGCGAAGGCCTCGATCTGCTCGGAGAGCTCCGAGCCGCGCTCGGCGGCGCCCGGCATGGCGGCAGTACTTCCGCTTCCGCCCGCCCGCCTCCCCATTGGCGGAGACTGCCGAGCTGTGCCCGCCCCCCGGCGGCGGCTCGGCCAATGAGCGGCGCGCCCGGCGGGTGCTGCTGCCGCGGGCCGGATTCAGGCGGTGCCCCGGAGCCCCGGCGAGGGCGCGCATGGCCGGGTTTACTTTGGAGCGGGCGGTGCGCCGCGTCTAAGGAGCCAAATCAAACGGGTTGGGAAAGGCGCAGTTCCTGGCAGCCCGATTGTTCTTGCTGGCAGAGCCAGAACTGGCCCTGGATAAGGCAGGAATGTAGCTCCTTTGTGTCTAGTTCCTGGAGCAGTGTGTCCAGGGAACAGGCAGGAGCCATGGAGTAATTCTCATTGCGGTACTTCTTTACTCTATCGCGCTGCTCTGTGTCCTGTTGTTTGAGATTAGGAATTAAAAGCAAACAGCTTTATGCTGGAAGCTTTCAGTGATTGCTTCATGCTGAGGCCGGTAGGGCTTAGGATGTTCATGACATACTTTTTGCGTTCTTATAGTTAGCTTAGGACTCACCCTACAGCCAGCTCCTGTCCAGGGACTGTTGGGTCCCCAGCAAAATACCAACAGCTGGTGTGCTGGCTCTGAGGACCTAAGGCAGGTGATTTGTCACCCAAAGCCTGCAGGGGACTGAGAGTCCTTCCATACCTCTCTTTTCTGCCTGCTTCTTCAAGTGCCCCTGTGTGCCTGGTAGCCAGAGAGCCCAGCAGCCTGGGGAAGGAAGCTCACTGTATCTCTCCAATGCCTGGCAAAAGGCCATACATCCAGGTTTGGTTGGATGTGCTTGGGGGATGCTGCAGCCCTGGATGGAAGTCAGTTTCACTCCGTGATGAGCTTATCCCATCCTTTGACCCTGGAGAAAGTCAGTAGAGGGTGACAGGGTTTGCCCAGCTATTGGCACCGCTGTGCTGGGCCCCACTGTGCCAGCTGGGCCCATCCTGGTTCCCTGCTGCCTTGTCTCCTCCTTCTCCCCAGATTTAGGTGTATGTTTTCTTCCATAGTGCATAAATCGGAGGCTTCCTGGAGCAAGGTCTGCCTAGCTCTGCATTTGTGCAGGGGAGCCCCATTCCCCCTTTTCCTCTCTGCACAGCCACTTACAGGCAGGGCTGGGGAGGCTGCATGTGCTGGGAGGCTGCCTGCTGCTGGCTGGTCCTGCAGTGCTGTGTGCCAGCTGTCTTGGTGTGCAGAAACAGCTCCCACACATGCACCCAGGGACCTGTGGATTGGCCAGAAAAATAAAAATCACTGCGTTGGAGCTTTCCTTTGTTTGTTTACTTATCTTGCTAGTAAACAGAGCAGCTCTTGGAGATTATGCAGGATGGAGAAGAGGAAGGGAAACCAGGCTCTGAGGTTATGACCTCCTTGTGGATGCTGGGCTGTTTACATTCCCTGCTTTGGTCCCAGTAACTATTGCAGGACAGTTTTTTCCCAGCACTTTGCCAGGCTGCAGAGCTTTTCCCGTTTATGCTGTTTCTGTTCTTTTCCCTACAGCACTTTCTGGCTGGCACTGCTGCCACAGCTAGTTTAGGCAGCTGGCAATCTAGTGTCCCTTGAGAGACAGAGCCCTGCACTTGGTCTGCTGCCTTGTGTTTCATGAATGAAAGCCTCTGAATGGGGATTTCAGGAGCTGTGAGGTCTGCATAGCTGAGCTGAGCCAAAACCTGTGGCTCTCTGGAGAGCTGTGAGGCAAACTTCAGGCTGCTCAGAGGGCCCATGGCTATGAGACATCCAATTGTCACTAGCCAGCCGCTGCTGTCAGGACCCAATGAGTTAGACAAGGACTGCCCAGCAGGACTGAAAAGGAGGGATTGAGGAGGAGGAGTGGCAGCAAAGACAGCACAGGGAGTTTAGGGCAAGTGGGGAAGGAAAGATGCCTGTTGGTGCCCTGGTGTACTCTGCTAAAATCCCATTGCTTTGCACTGTGGCAGAAACGATGGGAGTGGGGAGGTGGAAGGAGTCTCACCTGGTGGTCCACAGCTGCTGGGTGTTAGGGAGCAGGACCCTCCTCTCCACAGCCACAGCCACAAGGAACTGTGTCCTGCACAGCCCATCCTCCTTCCCTCCCTGGGTGTACTCTGGACAGAGTTGGTGGCTGCAGCTTCCCAGCTGGTGCACAAGCAAGCAAGAAGGCTGACACAACTGCAGACAGTGCTGGTGATGTGGACAAAAGAGCTGAGCAGAGAATGAGCTGGCCAGCCGAGCATGGCAGCATTTTTTGTGGGCCTGTAGAGGAGCTGAAAACTGTCTCACCTCCTTGGAGATCTGCCAGCGTAGCCAGGATGGCATCCTGCTCTGTACCATCTGGGCTGATTGCTGGGGACACTGCTTCCCTCAGCCCAGGGAATCCTGCATCCCTGGGGGCTGAATGTCATCCCCCAAGTGCTCATGTGAGGGAGGACAAGGCGGAAGAGAGGCTGGGTAGAGCCTGAGAGCACGGGAACATCGTGTGCTGGGAGGCTGTTTGGATTAGAAACTCTCAGTGGATAAGTGGGCTGGATAAAATGCCAGGGAGGAGAATCAGTTTGCTGAACTCTAGTAATTGGACTCATCTGTAAGAGTTGGGTAAGCAAAGTGAGCTGTTCACGCTCAGCACAGGCAAAGAAAGGGAACCAGCAGAGGAGAGCCAGCTGAGCCATGGCCCAGCAGGAGCAGCAGGGCAGGCTGTCAGCTCGGCATGGACTGTGAGGGCTGGGTGGGTGACATGGGGAGAAGCAGAATTACTACTGGGTGCCTAAGCCACTTGCTGAGCACAAGTGACTGAGTGAAGGAGGTCACGGTGCATGGGTGTGGGGAGAACACAAAGCACAGTCTAAGGGGAAGGATGCACTAAGGTACCTTTGGTGTGACCTGATTACTCTTCAGAAAACCTGTGCTCAAAGGCCTGAGACAAAAATAAGTCAAGACCAAAGCTCTTGCAGTCACAGACGTAGAGGCAGGAATGAATCTGCTGAAGGGAGCCCAAACCAGTGTTTTCTGTGTGTTACAGGGGAGAAAGTAGGTCACTTAGTGAGTGAAGGGGATGGAAATGATGAGCTGGGCTGAGTGTGGAATGCTGGTTTAAAACTCCAGCTTCCAGGGAAAGAAGACAAAAAGCCCAAACAAACAGCTACTGATCAAATGCAGGTACGTGAATAGCTGGAAAGCTGAGCTCTGTGGCTTTTCAGGCGCACGAACACGTTGTCTGAGTCATCAGCAGTTTTGGCATGCTTGAAATTCACGTCTGAGCTGCAGGTACCAGAGCACGTGGTCTGCTAGTCTTCGCTGATGACTCTGGTAACAACTGCCTCCTAAAGTGGTCATCCTCAGGAACAGCTGCCATAGCTGCCTGGGTGGCCAAGGGGAAACAGGCAGGGGTTGCTAAGGGCAATAACAGGATGGATTCAGTACCTCAGGTTAGCAAAGGATTTTGTGCAGCTCCTGGCTTGGCCTCCTGCGTGTAAGTGTGCTTGTCTCTGCCTGGAAAATGGCTGCTGTCTCATCCTCACGTCAGCACAGCACACACAGGCAGGCCAAGCCCATAGCCAGACCCTTGCGGTACCAATGGAGTCCACAATCCCTGTGGAAAATGAGTGGGCGGTTCTGAATCCAGCCCAGGGACCGTCTCTCCTGCCAGCAAGTTTGTAATTTGCGCCCCCCTCCTTTTAGGAGCCTTAAAAATAGAGACCAAGGCTGGGAAGCATGAAGGTTTTTCTAGGGCTTGTTGTGGAAGCAGCCCAGGCTGGGCTGCCTCTTGCTCTTCCCAGCCCCTGGAAGAGGCATGGGAAGCTGGCGTCTAAATGCCTGCCCTGGATGTGGAGCCTCACTCGTCGGCTCATTCATCTGTGGCAGTAGCCCAGGTCTCCCCTCGTGATACAGGCAGCTGGAGGCAGCTGGTTCAAAGGCCAGGCTGCTCAGGAAGAGGTGAGGGAAGTGTGGGAAGTCACTGCATGTCATGTAGGAAAACAAGATCTAGCAAGGGATGAGGGAGCATGCTACAGAGCTGGGTGGGAGCTGTTGTCCTCAGCATTGCTATTAATGTCCTGGACCTTCATACCCTGAAAAGCATTGGCTTTTTTTCGCTGCCACCAAAGGCATAAGTGCTCAGAAAGCTCCATGGCACCATGCAGGTGTTGGCTGTGGCCCTGCCACCACTTGGAGGGTGCATGGAAGGCTGGCTGGGCTGCAGAGGAGGTGCTGCTGGGGGCTCATCCCTCTGGGCTGGCTTCAGAGAAGCCCCGGAGTAAACCTGGTGTGGCTGCAGGAAGCCAGGCCCTTGGAGTGAGACAAAGTGCAGCCCGGACGCTTTGTGGTCACCAAGGGGTCCGTGACACCAGCAGTCTGGGCTGCTTCCTGGTCACCAGCCAGCTCCCCGCAGTTCCCCTGCTCACGCGCTCCCGGAGCTGCAGCTGGCCCCGGGCTCGCTTTGCTCATTGTCTGCTGCGGGTGATGGCAGCTATTCAGTGGCTGCCAGGTTTCGGGGAAAGGGAGAGATGAGCCACTCCTCCACCCACATTCTAGGAAAGCCTCTGGGATGAAGTCCTGCCGATACACACGTTCACTCTCCTCAGCAGGGAGAGTGTGCTGTGGAGCTTATATCCCCCTCCGCCCGCATCCCACATCCCCCTTTATCAGCAGGAGTGATGCTGAGGAGCAGAGCTTGGAAGCAGCCCTGGCTGCTGCCCTGTCTCACACAATAGCGGAGTCTGCTATTCCCCGTCTCCTTGCCTGTTTGCCTTCCAGAGCCAGGCAGAGTCTCGCCATCACTATTATTTTGCTTTGTGTCAATATTATGACAACTAAAAGCAGGAGAACTGCATCCACACGATAAGCGGCCAGAAGCTCTGGGTTGGGTGTGGATCGGGTTCCAGTTTGGCAGGGGAGAAAAGTGCCTGGCAGCCCCTGCCCACGGACTGGCTGGGCTGGGAGAGCTGGAGACGAGGGGCAGCAGCAGCAGAGCAGCAGCCGGTTTGTGCCTGTGCCTCTTCTCTGCTCAGTGCTCACTGTC